ATGGCCCTTCTCCACAAGTCATCTGAGAAGCAAGGCTCAGGCTCTCCCCTTGGGCTTGCAGTGCCTCCCCAGGCAATGACAGGCTTATTAATGAGAATTTTCAAATGGGTAATAGATCAGGGTTCACCGTTGTTTGTTTTCATGTAATGGGGATTGAATCCAGGGCCTTGCACATTCTAAGCACATACTCTATCACTGAACAACACCTTCAGCAATAAATTGTTTTTAAGCTTCCCCCCACCTCACTGCATATATGGCAGTTATCTTTTAACATTAATAAATAGAGACTGAATTCATATACCTTAATATCTCCTTGAACCATTATATAATTAAGTGTAGGATTCTAGAAATGAGTTGAGGATATAGGTGTTTGCTATCCTAGTCTAGTTTTATATAGATTTACATTTTTCAAAATAAAAAATTTATGAAAAACTATGATTAAAGCATTCACTTGAAAGTCAGAAAAAAATTCCATAGTATTTGTTTCCTATACTTTTGGTATTTAACATCTCAAGTACACAACTGGTTCATTATTTTGAAGTCAGAACTCTTAAGCTTGAGTTCACTCTTTTGATCTGATATATTAAGCTTTTGCAAAGCTTATAAAGTTTTCTTAATAGTCTATAATTTCACCCAATTTTCTTTGAGGGGTCTGATGTAAATCAAGTAACACAGTAAAACTCATTTCAAGCAACAATTAACCCTGGGAATGGGGGTCTCGGGATTTTTACTACTTTTTAAAATAGTTCAACCAGGTGTGGTGGCCCATGCCTATAATCCCAGTGACACGTGAAAGGCTGAGGCAGGAAGATCACAAGTTCAAGGACAACCTGAGCAATTTAGCAAGACCCTGCCTCAAAATAAAAAATAAAAAATGGCTGGAGGTATAGTGATAGAGTGCCCCTAAGTTAAATCCCCAGTACCACATAAAATTAAACAAAAATTTTCAGACATAAGATCATTTCAGTCAAAGTCTTAAGTCCTTCAATGCCTGCAAACCACAGTAGCTGCCTCAAATCCTCTCAGTTTGAATCTTCTCACGACTGCTCCAGCCCCATCAGCCTCCTGCCATTTCTGGAACACACTAGGTTTGTCCCAGGTATGGGGCCTTGGTTGTAGCTGTTCCCTCTGCATGACACTCCTTCAACCTAGATATCTCCATGGCTGAAGCTTTCACCTCCTCCAAGATTTCGCTCAAAATGTCACCTTCTCAATGGGGCCCACTGTCTTCCCTATTTAAAATGCCAACCAGCTCTCTACCTTCCTTGGGATGCAAAAAAATAAAGATTTCCAAGTAATAAGTAAAACCTATGGAGCTATGGATTTAGAGAGTCATTCAGAGACATTGAGAGAGAGGCTAGGAAGAACCAGAAGACAGGCAGCAGCCACAGGAAGGTTCACAGGCTGGGTCAGCATTGAGCAGTTTAGCAAAAGGCTGTTGGTGAAACAAGGGCACTGCTTGGTTTGACCATAACCACCAACCTTCACAATATCTTCCTTTCTCTGTTCTTTTTCAGGCCTTCTCTCCTGATGTTTATAAGAATCTGAGTGACCTGGGATTAACATACTTGATCTTCTCACAGGTCATACAACTGAAAAGTTTGGGCATGATTTGTAAATTACCACAGGTTCCTGGTGCCATTTCTTGTTTTGTTACTACATTTAGTATTCAGTACAGATTCTCCCTTTATGACTGCCTTGTACCTCAGCTTCTGTAAAAAAAAAGTAGGATGCTACTAACTCCAGGGATTAAGATTTGCTTAGAAATATCACTTTTACATCATAACACTCTCAGTCTACAAAGCCCTTTTGCATCTCTTTTCTCATTCAATCATCTTTCATACTGAAGAGGTAGTAAATCCCCTTAAAATGACTCACTACTCTACAAACAAGAGATTTGAGGGTCCTAAGTAAACATGTAGAAAATGAAATCCTTTAAGACTTATGCTTCCTAAATAGATTCTAACACCCCTAATCGAAGGGAATGGGTACAACATGCTTGAGAAAAAAAGGGCATGAGCTGGGGCTGTCCCCCTTACTTGGATTCTATTTCTTGGTGCCATATTCCATTTCTTGTTCCCTTTACCAGAGGCCAGAATAATTAAACCCCTAAACCAGTTAAGTTAGTGATTGTTCACAAATGAACATAAACTCTAAAACCTGCAGAGGAGCTTACAGTAGCCAATTTAAGTATTACAGTTGTAAAACACACCATTATCTCACCCACAGGTTGTGAGACAGATGCTTGTTGCACCTGATCAAACCCAGGATTCAAGTCTAAAATCATGTGCAGTTCTGAGAAATCCCTTCTCCAAGGTACCTGGTGATCATCTCCATACTACCCTCCCTTTGTATGCACATGTCCCTGAATTAAGAGCCCACCATTCAGTTCCCCATATTCGCAGCTCTACTGTGCCTGGACTATCTACCACTTGATGTCAAGCTCACCAAGTCACCATTCAGGGTTTCTGGGATTGGTGTATCTGCACTCACTGACTGCCCACACCACTCTTATTATAGATCCAATTTCCCTCCTCCAAAATGCACTTGCCCTCAATTATTACAGTGCAGAGTTCTTGTTATGAAATTTGTATTTGAATAACCTTTCCAGAGATGATCTCACTGTCCTACAAACAAACGTACTATTTGGAAACCACAAGCGTCTCAGTAATATGAAGTCCTTTACTTGTTTATTACCTATAAAACAAATGAGCCTTCAACACATCTGCAATAAAGACAGCAGATGCAAGATGATGGCGATATGGTGATTTCCAAAGTCCTCTCTGAAAGGAGAGCTAAAGAATTAAAGTGTAAGACCAGCATTCAGGTTGAAAGAGCCTGGATGAATGCACAGAGGCAGGAAGGGGCTCTGTGCAAGCAGTTAGGCAGCCCCGGGCAAGCACAGTAAGCATGGTATAAGTCACGTGACAGGCAACAGATATGTGGAAGCCAGATCTGCAGGGTAAGAAATGTGAATGGCTCCAGGGGAGCTGTTTTAAGGATGGCCAGACCCTTCTTAGTGTTTCAAATATTTCTCTTGGGCTGGGGGTGTGGGTCAGTGATAGAACCCAAGCCCTGGGTTCAATCCCTAGCACAGCAAAAAGCCAAAACAAAAAACTTTTGAGCTGGGTACTGTGGTGTACACCTGTAATCCCCGCTGCTCCAGAAGGTGAGGCAGGAGGATCTAGAGTTCAAAGCCAGATCAACAAAAAGTGAGGCACTAAGCAACTCAGAGACCCTGTCTCTAAACAAAATACAAAATAGAGCTGGGGATGTGGCTCAGGGGTCAAATGCCCCCACATTCAATCCCTGGTACCCAAAAAACTGAATTGCCCAGTGGAGAACAGATAAAGGATACTGAAATAGTTCAGACAGGTGATTAGTTTAGATTAGAAAGGTGATCATAAATAAGAGAAGTGGATATTTAAGAAAGTTCTTTTTTAAATGATACAAAACACGGTAATCTTCAACATACCAGTATTATGTAGGTATTCTTACAGTCCTTCTTGTGACTTTATAAATGACTACAAATCATATGTAACTCTAGACATAAGGTTCCTAAGTGGGAGGTTGGGGGTCAGATATAGTCTGCATATACTTTTCTCTTTGTCCACTTTCAAAAAAAAGTCCAAGTTAACCTGATACCTAAAAATCAGGACATCTGATTTCTCTAAGATCACTAGATCTGGCCAATACTGGGCCCATGTTTCCACAGGGCGGTAACTGGCTAGAGCACAGGCTTTCTGGTTTACCTTAATCCCAACACCCAGCACCCTTTATTCATTTATACCACCTGCTGCAAAGATATTTGGGTTTCTACTCCTTCAGCCTGGTACTGCTTATGGATGCCATAAGTCTTTTCTTACATAAAAGTATGTCAATGGGACCTTAAAATAAAGACATGTTCACTTCCACTCACTTCTTTTTTTTTTTTTTTTCGGTACCAGGGATTTAACCCAGGGTTGCTTAGCCCCTGAGCCACATTCCCATCCCTTTTTATTTTGAGACAGGATCTCCACAGGGCCCTGTGATGTGCCAAGGCTAGTCTGGAACTTTCGATCCTCCTGTCTCAGCACAAGTCACTGGGATTACAGGCATGAACCACCATGCTAACCCTTAATACAATTTTGATCAATAGTTGGCTTTAGGCTTCATGTAGTCTATCATCACCTGTGTCAGGGACCAAAAACCTGCAGATACACCAATTACACCAAACCAGAGAAAAACCTGGCACTACTGCTCAAACTAACTCATTTTGCATATCAGTGCTAAGTACTGTTGGACAGTTAGCTCCCCAAAGCCTGGGACACTCCAAGGTGTGAAAAAAGAAATTCAAAAGAAGCTCAGTATCTAGCCATTTTTCTTTGAGGAAGGATTCCCAAATTGACACCTTCCCCTTCTGCTAGAAAAAAGGCATCTGCTAATTCAAGAGTTGTAGAAATGTCAGTCATTTACAGGGAAAGTGGCCGGTGAGCGCCCTTTTATTTCACATCTGAATTGTTTCGGGCCTCTTGAAACCTTCATTCTCTCAACTTTATCCCCACCTCACTTCAACCCCCACCCCAACCCCTAGGCTAGAATGAATTAGATACGTGATCAAAACATCATTATCTTGCAATCTATCTTAAGCTATGAAGATAATATTAAAAAACCTCCCAAAGTTTGGGAACCAGAAAATTTACCCATAAATACACCACCAGAACCCAACAATTTGTCATCTTCAGGGCAAAACGTCCTTTTCGGGACCTTTCGGCCCCGTGCTACCTCCTCGGACCCCACCCCCAGGTGTGGTACCTGCAACCTGAGCCTTATTTGCAAAAGGCGGATAACAACCTCAGTGGTTTTTTTTTTTTTTCTCGAATGGGGTTGCATGAGAAAATGCACGGTGCTTGGCACACACACAGGTTCCAACCGATAGTGGCTACCATGGGCATCTGCATCCCTCTGGGCCTTTCGGGGAGGGCCGGGCCCGGGAGACCCGGCGGGCGCGGCTCACCCACCTGCAGGCGCACGTTAAGCATCATGGAAGCCACGATGTAGAGGTAGGGGAAGTTGATACGCAGCCGCCAGGCCAGGTCGAAGAAGATAAGCAGTGTGCGGGTCAGCCCCTTGCAGAAGACCCCATAGGAGCGGGCGGCGGCCGAGCGCGAGAGGCGGACAGCCAGGCCCGACAGAGCCGCCGCCATATAGAGACCGGCGCTCCCACTGCCCGCCCGCCCGCCGTCCCTCTCCGCGCCGCGTCGTCCCGGGCCTCCGCCCCGGCCGCTGGCCTGCGCACGGCGCGCTCAGGGAGCAAGGGAGGCGGCGGTGAGGCCGGCGGGCGGGCGGGCCACTGGGCAGCCGAGTCCGCGCGTCACGCTAGGGAAGCGCCTCAGCGAGCCGCCGCCTGGTCCGGGCCCGGCCGCGCGGCCTGACGTCACAAAGCCCGCCCCGCGCCTGCGCGGCCCACAGGCCACACCCGGCCACGCCCCCGCCCCTTCCAGCAGGTGAGGCGCGCATGCGTGGGCGAAAGGGCGTAGGGGAGCGATGCTGGTGTGTTGTCTCCGGCTGCCCCCTATGGGTGAGCCTAAGAATAAAAACAAAGGGAGGAGGTGAGCGGTGGCGATGGCCACAGGACAAAATGAGTGTACTTTATGCCTCTTAAAAAACGGTGACAGTGGTAAATTTTATGTTACCTATATTTGATCACAATTTCAAAAAGCGAAAGGGTCCTTTGGGAGTCTAACTGGTAGTCTATTCTCCCTATGTGGATTGGAGTTCCGGCCATTCTTGTTCAATGTCTACTTATAGAGTTTAATCTTGTAATAAGTTTAATTTTAATTGAACCACCTGATGTGAAAAGTAAAAAATACTTAAGCTTCCACAACTTCTAGTGTCCTGAGGCTTTTTGTATAGTTTTCACATTGCTAATTATAAATCTAGGTTTCTGTTGAAAATTTGCTATTCCTTCCTTCTAGTTTCTGACAAAATGTTTCCTGTCATAATACGTCTTCCCACCCGATGAGAAAGTCTGAGGATTTGGTATGGGTGGAAAAAAAGAATTTCCTTGATGAAATAATCTTTAGCTAAGCCACAGTAGAAAGTAAGCATGTAAAAAATGAGTTTATTTCATGTTGAAATCCTTTGCCCCCAAATGGATTCATATTCAAAATCATTCTTTTAAATATTTATGTACCTGTACTTCAAAGAGGAAGATTATAAATCATAAAGGAATACTAGAAAGTATTGTCATTTAATGTTATTTTCTTTAAATGTCTATTGTATAATTGTCCATATTTACTACCCATTGCATTTCAGGGAAATATCATATTAAGTAGATATTTTGGGGTTTTTACTTTTTGGGCTACCTTTATTATTAAAATAATGTTTTTTTCAAAAAATTCACAAATCTTTAGTTTCCCTTATTTTTCCAGTGTTATATTTCAGCACGGTTTTGGTTGACATTAAAATACTCATTTCCCTTTTTATGTAAGCTATTTTTTTTTCTTTAAGTGCACATTGGATGCTATCTTTGAGCACTGAAGAAAACATGCTGCTTGAATTATCATTTTTTTTTCAAGTGATCCCTTTAAAAACAGGAAAATGAAAAAATCTTTATGCACTCTTTCAGGCAAATAAAGATTTTTAAAGACTGGAGTCTTTAGAAGAAAATTTGCCAGAAGACACAAAATCAATTTGGCAGTGTGTCAACAGGTTTGGATCAGCTAAATTTATTGTCAGGCTTGTAAAATCTGGTGGAGAACTGGCAGTCCTATTAATCTGAACTATGTTGAAAGACCAGATGAGGTGTGGCCTTGTGAGACATATATATATATATATATATATATATATATATATATATATATATATATATATATATATATATCCTCCCTGGTTACTCATTTCTTTGTCTTTAAATGCCACTGAAGCAACAAGACATTTTAACAAGAGCTTCAGTTGCCATACACAATAGCACACAGAATTAACAAAATGCTAAACTGAACTGGATAGGAAGCCTGGTATCATTAGACATTCCTGAGATGTCAAAGGGAACACAAAGAAAAGGTAATAAGATTTCAAGTGTCAAATATAGCAGAGTTAACTGGTTCCAAGTTACAGTGCAGCTGGTAAGTTCATCTAGGCTCACAACAGCATTCAAATCAGTCCTTCATGAAGCGTCTCTAGGAAGGCACTGCTGATCATAATTTGAGGAACAGACAGAACTAATTATAAGTCAGTGTGAAAAATATTTTCACAGAGGCACAAAGCATTATGAGAAGATGCTAATGGAGAATAATTCTATTAACAACTGATCGACAGGATCCATCTGCTTTCCCTACAGTTTTCTCTCCTGCTAGCAAAGCTGTGTCTCAGGTAGAAATGAGTTGGTGTGAAAAGCAGACAGAAACTAGGTTCCAGATTCAGCAACTTCTCAGTGCTTCTGTGACCTGATTCTATAAAATGAGGATAAGGACACTCATCCTACAGGGTGTTTATGAGAAGTAAATGAGATCAGGTTTGTAGCGTCAGGCACAGTTCCCGGCAGATAGAGGGCACCCAGAAAGTGGTAGCTATTCTCAGTGTCCTTGAGCTCTTAGACAGGATGCAAATTAGTAGATCCATTAATACTCATTATGATTAATAAAGTTAAATCACAGACACAAGCAACCTGAAGAAGGAGGAGGGGCACGTGATGATGCTTCAGGAAGAGGGGATGAACATGCATGATCCAAAATGTGGGTCAAAAATAATTTCTATTCCTTTGCATATTCCTGGAAGGGTGGGGTAGATTTAAACATGTGAGTTCAGTTACCATTTTGACAAAGTGCAAGTTTCTGGTCTTCCTCAAAAGGGCTCTTGCCAGGCACCTTGGTGCATCATAATACACATCATATCACACGTCACAGATCAAGGTCAATGTGAATTGTTGACACTGTGTTAGGTTCAAAGGATGCATAATGTTATATGGAAAAAGTCAGAGGGAGAAAAGTATGCACAGAATTCCACTACTTACTTAAGAAAAGGAGGATATATATAACATACATATACATACATGTGCATTACAAATGTAAATATGTACAAACACACATATTTGTGGTTTTGTTTGTTCTTTAAATGAAAGGAGAAATCATAACTCTGCTTTTAAGTGCTTACCTGTAAGGGGAAGGAAGGAATATGGTAAAGGATATGGAGATAGGGGGCTTGGGGCTATAGCTCAGTGGCAGAGCGCTTTCCTAGCATGTGTGAAGCACTAGGTTCAGTCCTCAGCACCACGTTAAACAAAACAAAAAAAACCTCTAAATAAAATAAAATTGTTATGTCCATCTACAACCAAAAATTAAGAAAAATTGAAAAAAAAGATATGGAGATAAACATTATACTTCTTTGGATATACCTTGTTTTGTAGAATTTGACTTCGGAATCATGCAAATGTCTTACACCATTATGAAACAAAATTACATTTTTAAACTTAAAACTTTGCCAGGTGTGGTGGTGTATGTCTGTAACCCCTGCAACTTGGGAGGCTGAGACAGGAGTATTGCAAGTTTGAGGACAGCTTTAGCACTCAGTGAGGTCCTAAGCAACTTAGTGAGACACTGTGTCAAAAATAAAAAAAAATAAAAATGAAGAGCTGGGGAGTATCTCAGTGGTAAAGTGCCCTGGGTTCAGTTCCCAGTACCAAAAAATAAAAACTAAAAAAAAAATTTAAAACTTTAATTTAAAAAAAAAGTGTGTGTGTGTGTGTGTGTGTGTGTGTGGTGCTGGGGATCGAACTCAGGGCCTTCAGCGCAAGGACTCTACCAACTGAGCTATATCCCCAGCCCAAAACTTTAATTTTTGAGAGCAAAATGAAAACAAGTGAAAAATCTGTATATCCAGTTAGTAGCCTAATCACACACAAAGAGGAACTATTCCAAGAAACATTAAATATAGTTTGGGGTTAGCAATGTAGCCTAGCGATAGAGCACTTGCCTAGCATGCATGAGGCCCTGGGTTTGATCAACAAAATCTGTAATTTGACTGTATCCCCTGAAATGAAAAACTAGGATAAATTTCTAAGCTGTTTACAGTAATCATATGTTATGATTCTGAAAATCTTTTGTTTGTATTATATCAAGTAATCCTGTTGATAAATGAGGACAGGGATTTTTGACATAGGAGAAAGAAGCTAACAATACCAACTTGTCAAGATTAAATAAAAACAGTGTAGCCAAACCCTGATGTGGTGACATGCCTGTATCCCAGCTACTTGGGAGGATGAGGCAGGAAGATAGCAAGTCCAAGGCAAGCATAGGCAACTCACTGAGACCCTCAAAAACAAAATGAGCTGGGTGCAGTGGTGCCCACTTGTAATACCAGCAACTTGAGAGGTTGAGGCAAGAAGATCACAAGAGACCAGCTTCAGCAACTTAGGGCCTAAACAACAAGATCCTGTCCTGGAATAGTAAAAAAGGGTTGGGGATGTGGCTCAGTGGTTAAACGCCTTGGGTCCAGTTCCCTGTACCAAAATTAATTAATTAAATGGGCTGGGGATATAGCTCAGTGGTAGAGTGCCTCCAGGTTCAAGATTCAATTTCAAGTACCACAACACACACACACACACACACAAATAAACAAACCCAAAACACTGTAATCCTGAATTTGAATTGGACTATGGCATGAAATCAGAGAGAGAGAGAGAGAGAGAGAGAGAGAGAGAGAGAAAGAGTGTTTTCCAGCTCTAGTCACTGAAAATCCCTAAGAATAGTGCTAGGGATAGTGACCACTCTAGTAGCAATGAGCACCTTTGGTGGCCAAATGCTACTTGGAGTCTCTGAATACCATATCTCACTAACAGATTCCAAATCTGAGGCAGAGCCCGGACCTTCTTGTCACACTAAATAGCAAGGAAGTTCTCAAAGAAAGGGATGTGTCAGAAAGACTCAGAAGCCAACTGAAAGAGGGTCACACTGACCAAGAACAGGACAATTTGAGCATCCCTAAAAATAACAATTGCAGCAAAATGAAATGCACCAAATATGTGCAGCTCACTATGGTACCTGCATTTGTTTCCCAGGGATGCTGTAACAGATGACCACAGACTAGGTGGCTTAAATATCAGAAATTCATTCTTTTGTAGTTTGGGAGGCCACCAGTCTGAAATCAAGGTGGTGTCAGTGCCATGTTCTTCTAAAGGCTCTAGGAGAAGATCCTTCTTTGCCCTTTCTACCTTCTAGCATTGCTGGAAATCCTTGACATCCTTTGGTTTGTGTGAGTGCATAACTTCAATCCCTTCCTCTATCTTCACATAGACAAATTTCCTGTGTTTGTGTGTCCTCTCCTCAACTTACAAGGACACCAGCCACTGGGTTTAGGACCCACCCCAC